TGTTCAAACTGGTTGAACTCTTTAATTAACAGATTCACTGAAACTAAATCCATTTCTAACCATCATCCAATAACTGCAAGCCAATGAAGAATATTTACAATTTTAGGAAGATCTGAGGTGTGTGCAGCAAGTATAGAGGCGTGGTATATGCCAGCAGAGTACATGCAGCTACTAAAGGCTCACAAAAGTTAACATAAAAGTTGTATTATAAAACTATCTACTAAAAATGTAGAATCTTTGTTCGCGAGTATTCTCTCCTTCTGTGAGAGACCTTTTCTCCTTCCGTGACAATCTTTCTCACCTGAGTGTGAGTGGTCTTTTGATTAAACCAGTGTTGGTGGTAGTCCCATGCTTTTTCTTCCTTATTCTTTTCTCTTTGCTATCCTGTTGTCTACACTTTCCACCATCCCTGCAAATATCAGTTTCCTCATCCGAATTCTATCCTTGCTTTTGATAGTACCTTCTCGAACTCCAACCCCCGATTATCCACTTGCTCCATCCCTCTTGATCCATCCCCTTCCATACCCCTCCCTCCATCTCCCTTCATCTTTTTCATCAATTGGCTCCCTCATCTCTCTTACCATCATCATTTTCGATCGATTTACACATACTTTCAACGCGATTCTACGGGAGGGTGCGTAGAGCTTCGGCTCGGGTGTTCGCACCACCACCTGTGCTGGCCTCAGTTGGTCTTTTCCGGTGTTCGCCGTTGGTGGCGATGTTGCTCGCTTCCCGGTGAGCTTCCTTTGCTTTGTGGAGACGGTTGGTTTGGTGGTCCATGAGGAGGTCTTCTTCTTCTTCAATTTTGGGGGTTCTTGCAGGTATGACCTTTAGCGCTGGTGGTGGGCGTCGGATCGTGGTGATCGATGTTTACTTTTCTGATGGCGGCTGTTGTAGGCGCAGGAGAAGGCGTTGTGTGTTTCTGTGTTCTGTTTGTGTGCGGGCTGGGCTCCAAGGCTGGCCTTGGGCCTTGTCCCGTGTGTTGTGTTGGCCTTCTTTTTATGTTAATCTTCTATGCCTTTGTACTTGCTTTTTGCTGGTAATAAAATTTACCTGTTGTCAAAAAAAAAAAAAAAACAAAAAAAATTGGGCTAAAGTACAAAAGCTACCTCAACTATTGGGATCAAGACAGTTTCATATCTCATCATTTTAAATTGATAATGTCATACCGCATCTTACGAATTTGTGACAATGTCATACCTCTGTCAATTTTTCTGTTAGTTTTTCTGTTAAGTGCTGACATGGCAAGAGACGGGAACCACTCACTAATCTATCTGGATTAAAAAATAATTAAATATATTTTTAATAATTAAATATTAAAAAATTAAGAATAAAAAACAAAAAAAAAATTCCTAGGGGTGCGGCATCCCCTTTTCTTCAGCTACACCAATTTCACTTTTTTTTGTTCTTCTGTCTCCTTCTTCTTCATCTTCTTCTTCTTCTTCTGGGCCGAAACTGGATTTGTCACCTTTTTTTTTTCGTTCTTCTTCTTCTTCTTCTTGGGCCGAAACTGGGTATGAATTTTTTTTTCTTTTTGTTTTTTGTTTTTTTATTTTTTTATTTTTTTTGTTTCTGGGTTGCAGGTAGAGGGAAAAGGGAACGAAGATGAAGATGGGGAGGAGACAGAGAGGGTTCTTCTTCTTCTTGGGCCGAAAATGGGTTCGAAATTTTTTTTTTTTTTTTTTTTGGGTTGCAGGTAAAGGGAAAAGGGGAAAAAGATGAAGATGAGGGAGGAGAGATGAGCGTGCGCTGGGTTGGGGGGGGGGGGACGAATTGGGTTGGGTTGGGGTTTTTTTTTACTTTTTATTTTCTCCTTCTTCTACTTCCGCAAGAGGGGGTGTTTTAATTTTTTTTTTCTTCTTCCTCTTCCTTCTTTCTTCTTCTGGGTTGCAATTTGGGTTTTTTCTGTTTTTTTTTTTCGTTTGTCTTTTTTTTTCTCCTCCTCCTCCTCTTCTTCCCCTTCACCTTCTTCTTCTTCTTCTTCTTCTTCTTCTTCCGCGGGCGGGCCAGGAGCGGGGGTTGAGTTGATGGGTTTTCTTCTTCCTCTTCCTCCTTCTCCTTCTTCTTCTTCTTCTTCTTCTTCTTCCTTCTTCTGGTTTTTTTTTTCCCTCCTCTTCTTCTTCCTCCTCCTTCTTCTTCTTCGATTCTTCCTCTTTCTCCTGGGGGTTCCTTCTTCTGGTTTTTTTTTTCCTCCTCTTCTTCTTCTTCTTCGATTCTTCCTCTTTCTCCTAGGGGGGTTGGGTTTTCAAATTTTTTTTTTTTTTGGTGTGTTAAAGATTAAGCAGGAAGAAGATGAAGATGGGGAAGAGAGAGGGGGTGGGGGGAAGGGACGACTAAGGTTTTTTTTTTTTTTTTACTTTTATTTATTATTTTAATATTTTAATAATATTAAATATATTTTTTAGTTTTTAATAATATTTTATTAATTTTTTAATAGAAAATGGGCTCCAAATCAAGCCATGTCAGTACTTAACAGAAAAATTAATAGAAAAAATGACGGAGATCTGATATTGTCACAAATTCGTAAGATGAGATATGATATTGTCGATTTTAAAATTAAAAGAAGAATAAAGTACAAGGCTCACTGTGCGCTGAATTTTTATCAAGTCTTCCATTCACTAATTGTTTCTTCAGCTTCATCCAAAACCCAGTAACATCTTAGCCATCAACAACCAAGATCGAGCACTACAATGCCGAATTCTTTGTTTGTAATGTAAAATAAATTTGGGATTCAGAGAGCAAACCCTTTCCACTCACAGAAGCTGCGCTTTTATTCTATAAATGAGACTCACCAATGCTTCTCTTTAATTGGGGCTTGACTAACATTGTGTTTCCCTTGTAAGTAAAAACTTTTAGCAACAAAATTAACTCCAGGAACAAGGGATGTATCACAATTTTGAAAGAAGAGGCAAGAAAACAGAATTAAAAAAACGAGGGAAATTGTCGAAAATGACCAATTTTCTTAATTTTCGAACTTAAATAGGGCAAAGCAGCTGTACACAAGCTATGCACAAAAATGAAATGATGAAAATACCCACATATAAATTGTAAAAACTCACGGCTCATTGCGTCATTTTTCTGATTTCGAAGAGAACTGTGAATTATGGGTATTTAGGTTGAGTTCAAATCTATGAGCATATCATATGTATATCGTGTACGTATAATGAGTTCGACAGCCAAACTAGGCTTTTCTCCTTCGCTTCTCAGTTCGCCGCCCTCCATCTTCCCTAATCTCTCTCCCATAGCAAAATTCGGCTCAGGGTTGGTTTGGTATTGATCTGCTTTGAAAAAAAAAAACTGTTATATGCTGTGATGTGAGAATAAGCTCATTCTTGTTGTTTCATGTTTTCATCTTTTTTCATCCAAAACTGTGAAAATAAATTACTTTTAAGTTTTTACCAAACACATTTTTTAGCTCAACTTTTTTAATATTCATTTTTTATGAAAGTACTTCAGTACCAAACCAGTACTCTAAAACTCAAAACCCAATTCCCAGGTGTTGGTGGTAGACAAGGGCATGTGATTCTAAAACCCAATTTCCAGGTTTAAGGCAATTTTGGTTGATTTTTTTAGGGTTTTTGGGTGGTAGACAAAGGCATGTAATTCCGAACACCTTTTCTTAGATCGTCGACGACGAGCCTAAACCCGACATAATCGATGACGAAATCGACGAAGAACATGGTGAGAATGATGCAGACCATGGACTAGAAGCATTATTATATCAAGTAGGGGGATTCTTCATCTTGTCCGGGCTATTAAATAAGAATCTGGTAAATAGGGGCTTCTTCATCTTGTCTGAGCTCTCTTCACCCATTGTCAACACAGTGACATCATAGCTGGAACACAGTGACTTCATCTCCTCCTGTCCGATCTGATCGTGACACTTCCCAATAAAGATGATAGAAAAGTGAGCTCCCCAATCTCATTCAAAATTCTGTAGAAGCCTAAATCTCAACTTAAAGGAAGCAAAAAACTATCTAGCATTCTTGCATGGGAACATTGTGATGCATGGACAATCTGTGTTGGAGTGAAACAGAAATGAGAACAGGTGTTTCACTATCACCAGACCAACACTCTTCCCAAAACCACACTCCCCCATTAACCACCACATGAAGAAAAAGAGCCAAGCCATTTGGAAATGTGTTTCATGCCGCTAGTTTAGTATCCCACGCATTGTCATGTAATCTATTTTTGCTTCTCGACAGCATGCCATAAGAATCAGTTTCTACAGAAACTGCAAAACCATTTTCCAAGAAACGCATCGTTTCCCTACCAAGTTTCCAACCCCCAAACCACCCTTCTTTCAGACCTGAGACACTGACTCAGAACTCCTTATCAACCACAATGTTCTGCCACAAACCTTCATTCACTGTTTTGTAATTTACAGTAAACAACTTTATTGAGAAAATTGAAAAAAGAACAATGTCTAGCGGTCAGCAAGAAGTCCACCATCGAACAAGAACAGAAACAACCCTACCCATCCAAGAAGATAATACTAACATCACAACACCGAACAGAAGAAGAGCAGCACCACAAAAAGACTACTCAACATAACAATCAACAGAAAACTAGAACACTGATTAGTTAACATAAGCTTAGAAATTGAGACACAGAATGACTAAAGAAGCCGAAAATCCCACTATACCCCACAAATCTTCACTCACTTCGCTCTTTATCTTACTTAAGTTTCTTTTTTTTTCATAATTTGACATAAAAACAAAACATATTTAACTTGTCTGAGAAAGACTAGAGTATCTGCCAAAACTCCACTCCTGGTCATTCCTAGTGATGAGATAGTATAACCATCACTACTGAATCTATGCACCGTACTTTCAACCTTTTGCTACATTTAAAAACTGCATAAGCTCTTCTATTATGAAGACATCCAAGAAAATCATAAACTGTGTGTAAAGAGGCCATAGCACACCCAAAATAATTATTCATGCATGTTAGTTTGGATTATAAGCACAAAAACAGGCATTTCAATGAAAACTGGGCAATAATCAAAATTGTTGGTACTATAATAGCAAGATGTATTTATACAACCTAGTAACTAGAGTGAATCCAACTGCAAAACTAAAATAATGAATGAAAAAGTTAGATTTTGCAAATACCATTCCTTACAGCAGACCTTCCAGCTTCCAAAGACAAGCTGAAAAAAGTATAACAAGTTAATTTTTGAGTTCTCGATCCAAGAGTTAGGCATGCTGCATTATAACCTAATGCATCAGCTCCATTCTCAGTCCAGAGTCACCACACACACCTCCAACTCTTCAAAGACCTTTTTAAAACTCAGCGTCTCCTTGTAAGTAAATTATTGTGCATGTCCAGCAACCTTTCGAGGGATACAAGGGACCAAGTTTCCTCTGTTTGGGCATATACCTTTTGATTTACGGAGTCAACTATTATGCTTACATTACCAAAGCCATACATCTGGTGACCATTATGCATCCTCCCAGGCTTAGGCCTAAATAGCAGACCATGTTGCTGCGCATGGGCTTCAATAACATCTTTCAAACTCATCTCGTGACCATTGCCATCCATTTGAGCAGTGCCACCCAAGTTTGCATGTGCTGCTGCTGCTGCTTTCTGCTGTGCCTCAAATTGCCTTTGCTCAAGCACCCTAAGGTAGCTAATATTCTCCTTCAAACCAGGTTGGACCACCTCCATACCCTCAACAGCCCGATTCATCATGTCAAGACCACAATTAAGCTGATACCGGATACTTTCATTTGCATGAAGCTCCTCAGGAATGAGTTCCTTCCAACCTTTGTACCAATTTAAAACCTCTTCAAAGTTCGGGTTCGAACATAACCAGTGATACAAAACCTGTAGCCACTTGGTGAAGAAAAATTTCTCCATCATATCTACCATTAGATGAATTGGAATAGCAGAAACCCAACTCATCACCCAATTAAATTGATCAAGTGTCTGATCTGCAGGGTTCACTTGGAATTCTTGTAAGACAAGCTGCAACTTGGGTACTATAAATCTATACATAAGCTGTTCCCAACTCGCGGCATCAAACACCTTCTTCCACGGTGAGAGTATGGTATAGGCAGATCCATCGCTTGGGTGCCAAGCACCCAGAACATTACTCAACTTGAATCGTATTGTGTGATACAAGTCTTCCAACTTGTGTCCCAAGAGTGGTAGCCATGGATGCACCCACACATGGATGGGAACAGTGTCCCGGTGAGGTTCCCACAAGTCAACTGCGTCCTTCAATTTAGGAAAGATTACCATATCCAGTATGGAATGAAGGACAGAAAAAGGCAGCAAGTTCTCCCAAGACTCCAGAAAGCGAAGCATGGGTTCAGGGTCCTTGGGCTGCCATGTATTGACGCCAGCAATCCTCACGGCGGGTACCACCACCTCGGAAAGCAATTTGGTGTACGGGGACATTGAGCTATCCCAAATATCCAGGTACTGCTCGCTCCCCCCCTCTCCATGAAGCAAAGCCTTCCAAGAAGATACAACATCCAATCCATGCGAGGGGTTCCTAAGAGGATCCCAGCCTTGAAACATCCTAATAAACAGAGGCAGAGCAAAGGAGCAGGCAATGCAAGACAAGTTACATAACTTATAGTCATCAGCGTATCTCTTCTGCAGCTCACGAAAGCCCTTTGTCAGGGAGTCCAGCGTCAATGTTCCCATGCTATTCTCTTCTCCCAGTCGATCTAAGACGGTCCTAATATCCTCCAAGTTATCCAGGTGTTGCTTCTGCCTGGCCACCTCCGTCTCCAACCTCTCTTTCTCCTGGTTCAAGCTGATGGCCGTGTCCCGCTCATTCCTCAGGTCCCTGTCAATCTTCTGGATATCAAGCTCAGCTAAGTCCAGAATTAACCTGACGTTGTGCTGTAGCTCAGGCATGGGAACATCCTCTTCCCTTGCTTTCTCTTCGGCATTCAAATTCTCCAGATTGGTCAAGACTCGAACCTGAGGTCCGCGCATATCAACCACCTTGTGCACAAGGACCTCTATGCCTTCTTCCTGCTTCTGGGCTAACAACTCCTTGGCAGAGACATAATGGTCCTTGTTAGTCTTGTTCTTCTTCCAGGAAGGCTTCTTTTTGGTGGAGGTGGCAGCGGGCAAAGGCTTGCTCGGCTTTTCAGCTTCCAATTCTTGCAAGCTAGGCCGCTTGACTTCCGTCTCCTTGTAATCATTGAAACCCATGCCCATATTCTTTGGCCTCAGCTTGGCTTCAATAGGAGCGAGAATGCCTTGCTCGTTCTTCCCAAGTCCGCCTCCTTTGTAGCCCATGTTCTTAAGCATCTTCATTCCAATGCCCTTGGTGTGTTTCTCGAAGGCCCCCAGACCCCCATCCCCACCGCCCTTTGCTCCTAGTCCTGCAAATTGACGTTCTTCAGAACCTCCTCGACTCTGAGACTGACTACTAGTAAGCTTGAGCAATTTCATCTTTTCCCTCTCCTTGTGTCTCTTCTCCGCTCCCTCCTTTATCTTCTTCCCAAAAGCCGTCGGCAAAAAACTCTGCTCATCGTCCACCACCTCCTCCTCCTCGCCACCCAACGAATCCGAATTCCGATTTTTAAAACCTAAACCGGAACCCGTAGTGGCACCAAATCCAAGGCCAGTTGTGGCGCCGAGGCCAGGCCGCTTATCATCGTTTTGCTGCTTTGAATTGTCGTCGACCTCCTGGTTGGGCATGACGATTCCTGTGGAGACAAAACTGACGGGCTTGGTGAGGTCGACCCTTCGGTCTTTCCTGCGTTTTCTGGAGCCGTCGTTGTCGTCGTCGTCGGAATCGCCAGTAAATATGCCGTAGAGGACATCGTCTTTGGTTTGGACGGGCTTGTCCTTGCGCTTGCGGTAATAGAACTCGCCGCCGATCCACTGGGCGTCCTCGAAATCCTTCTCCATCCCAAACCTCTCCATCTCCTGATAATCATCCATCACCCTCCCTGCCCTAAAATTGTACCTCTGATTTCGATTGCCAAAACCCTAACACTGGTGATTGAGGGATCAAATCATAAAAGTTTTGACCAGAAAATGATATACATCCGAATAAAATGGAATAGAAGTGAAAATACAAAGCAAATTACCGATGCAGTGATTTAAGGCTTGTGGTGGCTGTCTCGGGCGTAAGAGAGCCAATATGGCCGCGTGTGAGAGTGATTAGGGTACGTTTGCTGATTACACCAACTTGTGAACGTCTTTTCCTTTTTCATTTGGGATTTTTTTCGTTTTTTCATTTTTCGTTTAGGGTACGTGGAATATTACCCCTGAATTTTTTTTTATTCTTTATTTTTTATCACTTGGATTCTAGTTTTTTTTTTTTTTTTAATGGTTTACTAGCATATGTGCATACATAGTGTGTGAGAAATTTTTTTATTTTTGTTTTTGAAATAGAAGGAGAGAGAAAGGGCATGATAGAGAATGTGGGAGGAAGTGGGCGGTTGAAGAGGCTTTTGGCGAGACAGCTGGAGAGAGAAGTCAAGGAGAGTTGATGAGAGAAAACATGAATGAAGAGAAATTTTAAATAAAATCTGTTAGTATTACATGGTTGTGATGCTCAACTAAAAAACTTTTCGAAATAGAAAGAGAGAGGAAAAGAGTGATAGAGAATGTGGGAGTGGGAATGTTTTTTTTTTTTTTAATTAGAGATATGTTAGGATTACATGTAATTGAGGCTTTGAAAAAAAAAAGCAAAATTTGGTTGTATGAAATTACATTTCTGCCCCATATTTCTTATTCATGTTTTGTTTTAATTAGAGGGTTAAACTGGTAATTTCATAGGATTTTGGTTGACAATGAGTGTTTTATTAATTAGTAGAGATTAAGTCAAAATGCCCTTTAAAATCGTCATTAAGTCTCAATTTACCTCTTGAAACTGGTTTTGTCTCACTTTGCCTCCTGAAAATTGATATTTTCAACTATTTTGTCTCACTTTACCCACTTCCGTTAATGGAATGTTAAATTTAAGGGTATTTTATACATTTCAGTTTTTACACATTTATTTACGCTAGCCTACACACTAAACAAGTCTGATTTTATTTTTGACAACTCTAATTCAAACACATAAATTTTGGGCATTTTTAAAAATAAATTATTCAATCAATAGAAAATATTTGAGCAACAAATCACTGTATCAATCAAAATAAGGGTTACATTTGTTCGTAGAGTCATTTCACTTGCAAGACACCCATGTATTGGCTTGAAACTTTGCAATTGAAAAATATTAAATCATTATACCATTAAGCTATCCTATCCAAAATACTTTTCAAACCAATAAAAAAAAAGGAAAATCATTTACAGCAATTGTGCACAATTTGAAACAAAAAATTTCACATTGTTGAGCATTGATTCCACTAGGCATGAGCTTGTTCAAACTGTGCACATTTGCTTTAAATATTTTTTTGGTTTGGGAAGTCTTTTGGATAGGATAGTTGAATGGTATAAAGATTTTGTTGTAAAGGATTAGAATAGAGAAATGCATGTAATGTACCTATAACGGTGTTCAATTATCAAAAAAAGAATTTCCAAAAAACTAGTTTACAGACGGCATTTAGATCAAGATCCTGTTGTCTTTTCATCTTTAAACCTTGGCACAAATCTAAGCTACGAGCCCCTTATAATAATCCAATGAAAAAGCAAGGCCAAAAAAATGATTTTTGTTTTTTTAACAATTTTTGGAATGGAAGCTGAACTACCTTTTTGTTTCCCTATAATTGGAACAGTAGTAGGGCTCTACCCATTTATTCACTCGACCAAATTCATTTTTTTTTATTGCACGACAAGAACTCAAACGATTTAAATAAGGTTTTGGACCTATTCCGTAAGAATAAAATATTCTCAGAATTATCCATATTTTTCAATTGCAAAGTTTCAAGCCAATACATGGATGTCTTGCAAATGAAATGACTCTATGAACAAATGTTAGTTTTGGTTGATACAAAGATTTTGTTGCTTGGAATTTTTCTATTGATTGAATAATTGTTTTAAAAATGCCCAAAATTTATGCATTGGAATTAGAATTGTCAAAAATAAAACTGAGACTTGTTTAGTGCGTAGGTTAGAGGTAAATAAATGTGTAAAAACTAAAATGTTTAAAACACCCTTAAATTTAACAATCCATTAACAGAAGTGGGTAAAGTGAGACAAAAGAGTTGAAAATATCAATTTTGGGAGGCAAAGTGAGACAAAACCGGTTTCCTGGAGTAAATTGAGACTCAATGGTAGTTTCAGGGGGTATTTCGACTAATAAGCCTTTTTTATTTATCTTAAGGGCTAGTTTGGTATTATTGTACTACTTAAAAAATTGCTTCTGTTGTGTTATAAGAATAAACAATAGTAAAATAAAGTTGTTAAGTGTAACGACCCGTCCTTAAAAATTATAATTTTAATAAGTGAATTTTCAAAAATGCCCTTCGAGGCAAAGTGTTGACTTTTGTGGACCATCTTGTCGTTTCACATAAGATTCATTTTCTTGGCGTATCCCGCGTGGGCGCAAATGGAACACAATTTGGAGTTATAATGAAGTAGTTATTAACGAACGAAGTTAGGGACTAAATGGTCATTTGAACATTTTCTGGAAGGCTCTAGATTTTTAGAGCAAAATCTAGAAAGCCACGTGTGTGGCATAGATTAAAGGAAAGTTGAGATGGTCGGTGGAGATGGACAATAAGGCAAAGAAAAGGAAGGGAAACCGGCCAATGAGGAAGAGAGGGAAAAAGGGAAGTGACCAATGGGGGAGAGAAGAAAGGAGGTGAAAGGAGAGAGAGAGGGAATGCACCAGATCACCCTTGACCCAGTTACCTCTCAGCCAACCCACGTGACATGGTTGACCTGAAGCTATATCTGGCGGTTTTCCATCGTTTTTTTGGTGATTTTCATCAGTTTGCCACCTGGAAACTTGACACCGGCCTTCTATCTTTAATTTCCACCCATGATTGATGGGTTTTTGGGCCTAGTTTTGTGAAGAACACGCATAGTGGCATTGAGGGTCCCACAACGGCGATTCTGTCGTTCTTGAAGCAAACTCCGTCGACCACCACCATGGGTCGATTCCTCTTGAACCCAAGAATAAGTCCTAAGCCTTGATTGGTGCAGCGGAGCATCGGAGAAGTCCAATCGAAGGCCACCATTTTTAGGGTTTTCAGCGGTTTCAAGGAAAATTGAGGCTTTTTGTGGCCAAATTGGCCTTAATCACAAGTATGGAAGTTATTCCTCTCATTGAGATCTTCATTCTTGTAAAATTTGGGAATTTTTGGAGTTGTTGGATTTTCTGACGTGTCGGGGTGGTCGGCCGCCACACGCGGCAGCGCGTGGGGGAAAAACCTAAGGTTGCTCCTTAGGTTTCTCGACGTGCCAAATCTGAATCCACCATCCATTTACCCAAATTCCAATGTTTTCATAGAGTTTTATTAAACGACCTTTAATTGTGTTTAGGTGCATCGATGGACATGATCCAATCCTTGATAGTTCGAACGGCTTCGAGCAATGGAAAAACTTGTGAGCTAACCCTTTCTTAACTTATATATTTTTATAAAATACTAGTCTAACATGCATGACATATTTCATGATTTAGATACGATTTATATTTTGCCTTTATAGTTTTCTATAATTATGATTTAAGAGAAATTAAGATTTATTAAAATTACTTTTACAAATGCCTTTTATTTATCGAAACTACATTATACTAAAGGTTATGAATCATGGGTTGGCATTTATGTGTGTCTATGGATATGAATTGTTGGAATTACATATAAGAATTCTATGGTTTTCAATTATGATTTATATTATGGATTTATGAATATGTGCACATTTATGGATTTATGAAATGAGGTTCTGAGCTTTCGAGCTTTAGTGTTTAAGTATGAATTTTGAGATATGTTTTTGGTACTTACCTAGCGGGTTATCATACAGCACATCCGCACACCACGAGTATTATGTGTGTGGCCATATGACACATATGATGGAAGAGTGAGATATGATATATGATATACCCACAACTTCACTATCGAAAGCGGTGTTGGATAGCTTCACTAGCCACGGCTATTGTTGGTGTGAATGTATGCTATTTTATATAGTTTGACCTTCAGGTGATGGACAAGTACTGCCTTTGGACAACTGTGATACCCCTAGTTAAGTACTTCACGGTTATGATTTCCAAAGGTTTTACAAAAGTTTTACATGGCATGCTAGGGTTTTTCATAAAACCTATATGTAGTATTATATATGTGTTTTCAAAACAGGGGGTTAGTACGTTCATAAATAAAATGGTTTTCTTATTATTAGTACTATTATTATAAACTCTGGTCCACTCACCTTTTCTGTTTTGCGTCCCCTTCAGGATTTAGATTTGAGGCACATTATCCCGGCGTCAGGACTTTACAACATAGATGTTCTCGAGTCTTCTCAGTGTAGGTATAATTTTTTGTTCGTACCTTTTTATAATAATTTCTTCCATATTATTCTTAGTACTTGTATGCTTTGAACATGATTCTGCATCGGTTTATATCTTTCTAATTAAATATTTTATCTGTATGCATGTTTTGAATGGCTTCGTTCCCTCGGGTGTAGGCCAGCCCATGCCTACCCTAGTATTTAGGGATATTGAGGTTGGGGCGTGTTAGTTTGGTATTAGAGCATGGTTTGTTCAGAGCATACTTAGGATCTTCTCCTACTCTAGTGATATGTCGGCCTTGATATCATTTGGATGTCACGGCTTCCGTTGATCGTTATTTTTCGGCACGCTTGTGCAATCCTCATTCAGCATGAATAATCACATCTTATAGGAAGAATAAGAAACTCGTATTGAGATCGTGCCTTAAGTTGATATAAGTGATTGAGGAAATGAACAACCTCAGTATCAGACTGATATTCTATGACCTACGTTCATTTGGAATGGCAGGCAGAGTTATATCGATTGAGAGATTACTCAAAATATCTAGAGTTCGTGTTAGAGGAAAATCAAGGAAGCATCAGTTGTAGCAAATGATAGATTGTGTTTGTGGGGTAGACTAAATCAATTTTCCTTATTTTTGTTGAAGGAATGCGTAGGGACCCTCAGGAAAGTCTTCTCAGTGATTGTCTTAGTGATAACATTCTTGCCTACTCCAATACTCCACCCACGATGTCAGCCTAATAATTATCTATAGCCGAGTAAAATTTGTTGATGTTGCGTTAAGCGCATTGCTGACTTCTTGATCTTGCGATTGCGGCCGAGGAAGGAACAA